GTGGCCCCAACCCTCCTCCGAGGGTACCACTGTCCCCACGAGTGTCTCTGGGTGACAGCACCGGGCAGGACCAGAGCAGCCCTCGCAATGGGTCCTTCTGCCCCCCGAGCACCCCAGGCCTAGAGATGGGTGTCTGCAGGTGGGGACCACTCCTCAGCCGCACTCCAGCACCGAGCTGGGAGGCAGAGACCCTCCAAACAAGGAACCCCAACCCAGGTTATCCGCAGGGTCGCCGAGGGTTTCCAGGGGGACACTTCCCCCTCCAGCACCCTGTGTCCCCCTCCTCCAGCTCCACGATGTCCCAGGCTGCCCCACGGGGCTCTCTGTCCCCAGGCAGCAAGGGGACACCCTGCACCAGCCTGGGCCACCTCCCCTGCCACAGGGCCATCTCTGGTGGTCACAGGCTGCTCCCCAGCACCCCCATCACCACCGCGACCCCCCCATCTCACCGCTCTCCCAGTTGAGGTACTTGAGGGGTGAGTTGTCCGACCACTGCCAGCCTCCGTTGATGTCCAGGTCGTTGAGCCCAATCCAGAGCGTGGAGCTGTACCCCGTCAGCAGCCCTGGGGTCAACACAGCAAGAGGGGCAGGATGAGTCCCCCCAGCCCTGGCTCAATCCCCAGCCTGTCACCATCCCCAAACCAACCACCCGGGGCAGGCAGAGCAACCCGGCACCGGCCGCGGTGCCACCAGCTCTGCCCCAGGTGAGGATGACTGCACACAGCCAGGCTGCCACCGTCTCACCGTTGATGTAGGTCTGCTCGTGGATCTCGGTGATGCTCAGCAGGTTGGCCCCTTGCTGCTCGCAGCTATTCCAGGCCTCCCGCCACGACAGCGTCGACTGGAAGTTGAACTGGTAGCAGCTGTTGGTGAGGTGGTCCTTGTCCCAAAAGGTCTCGCAGTCATTGCCTGCGGGGATGAGCAGGGTCAGCACCTGGCTCCATAAATCCCCAATAACGCCGTAAACCCCAAGAACCTGTGCTGCTCCAGCACGGCAGGCTGCTCGCAGGAGAAGGGAGGAGGGAGGAAAGCCCCAAGGAGGGATGGGTACAGGGTTTCCCCTTTTCCCCACAGGCCACATCCCCCTCACTTACTCTTTATGGGGCAGAAGCCCCATCGCTCGTCCTTGCCGTAGTCCTGGGTGGTGGCACACCAGAGATGGCCGTCCTCCCGCCCCGTGCTGGTGCACTCGTGAAACCACTGGTTGTCGTACTTGAAGGGGATGGTGCATGGCTTCCCGTGCGAGTTGCCCTGGATGGTGTAAATCTCTGGGGGAAAAGAGGAGCCCTTGCTTGAGGCTGTGTTTATGGGGGGCTGGGAAGTGTAAGGTGGCCCCGTGTGGGGGCTAACGGGGTGCCCGGAGGCTGCCCGGTCCCCATCGCCCCAATGGGCTGGGACCAAGCTCCCCAGGGAGGACCCGACTGCTGCAGCACTGCAGCCTCAGCTCACGTTTTGGGGTTGGTTTGGGTTACAGGATAACAGTAATGCCCAGCCAGGCGTTACCAGAGTACGGCACGGAGCACAGATCCTCCTCGGTGCCATACGTCCTCCACTGCGAGCCACGCGCCTGGTCCCCTCTGTCCAGGGAGGAATTGCCTGGGCGGGCACCCAGATGCTGCGAGAGCTGCTCCCCGAGGCCGCGGCAGCTCCAGCGCATGTTGACGGACTCGCGGTCGCATTCGTAGGTGGCCAAGGGGTGCAGCCCCGCCGTGGCGTTGGCCCCGTGCCACGACACCCCCAGGCACTGCATAGCCCCCACGTTGAAGAGGCGATTTCGCGAGACCCATTTCCACTGCTGGGCCGGGGCGCTGGCGTTGCAGCCCTTGGCGAGTCTCACCAGCGAGTCCTTCGTCTCCAGGCAGCCCTGCGCACCCGTGTTGTAGATGAGGAAGACTTTGGAATCTGGAGGGAAAGAAAAAAAAAAAAAAAACAAAACACAGGAGGAAAGGGTTAGAGCATCGCTGGGGATCTGGCATCCTGCCACGCATCGCCCCCAGCCCTGCCAGAGCATCCTGGCTCCCTTTCCATGTGCAGCAAAGTTTCGGGGTGCATCCCTGGGCACAGGACCCAGCACGCTGGGGACCATCGCTTCCCTGCAGGAACGGCCGCAGGGTTTGCCCTCAGGGTGACGGGCGACGGGCAGGGTGACATGGATGGGCGTTTGCACCAAGCGTGGCATCCCCGCAAAGCACCAGCAAGCGGCTTTCGGGCATCGTAGCCGCTGCAAAGACTGACAGCATCATCAGAGTTCCCATCAAAAAAACAGAGTTCCCACCGGCAGCACCCAGCAGTAGCATTCCCAGACATCCCAACGAGCCCCGCGCCAACGGCTTTGGCCATCTGCTCCGGGCAGAGAAAAACAGAGCAGGGAAACAGAGAGAGCGCATCCGTCATTTTTATGCGTATTTGGGGACCTGTTAAAAAAAACTGCGGCGCAAACAAGAACTTTGGGGGAAGGTCTCCCATCGCATGAACGAGGTGTGATGGAAAACGTCTGCACGCAGCCACGGCTCCCGCGGGCACGGCCCCAGCCCCAGCAAATACGAAACGTCGCGTCAGGACCCTCCGAAATCCCAGCTCTGGCGTCGGGAGGCGGGAGCAGAGCGAGGGGAATCGCTGCCAGTAGACAAAGCGCCAGCGCAGCTGCGGAGGGGAAGAAGGTCGATCTCAACCCCGGCTCGATGCACGTCCCACGGCCCTGCCCGCTGCGACCGCCCGACCCCGCATCCCCACGGCAACTCCCTGACCCCCAGCATCACCGAGGGCCACCCCAGCACGTGAATCCATCTCAAAACCTGGATAAACCAGTAAACCCAGGACATTGTTCCAGCTGACGTGTCATTTTTAAAAGATACTTTCTCTCTTCAAATGCACGGTTTTAAGCTTAAAAAGCTGGCCCTGGGACTCCGTGCAGCCACTTCATGCCCCAACACCCCAGCGAAAAGCTGCCCAAAGCAACACATCAACGCGATGATATTTGTCGGGGTTTTGGGGTTTTTTTGGTTTAAAAGCGACCCACGTTTTTTCCACCGCAAGCATTCACCAGCAGTCAAAGCGAACTCACGGGCCCCGCTATATTTAGCTTTGGTTTGCTTTGGTTTTTTGCCATTGTATGAATTTTCTGGGCTGAAAAAGTTTTCATTTCCTATTCCCCCGCAACCTCACCCTGCCCCAGCCGTGCTGGTACAGGCGGCTCCGGCACATTCGAGCAACAAACCTCTCGGCTCAGCGAACTTTGCTGACTTGTCTCTGAAAGGAAAAAAGAAATGGAGGAGAAAAAAGACATCCCCATTTCGTGTCAGAGCGTCAGCATCGACCCGGCTGCAGAAAAGACATGACATAAAAGGGCCACTCCCCAGCCAAGATGACATCAGTGATGACCTCAAATAAACAGAAGCGAAGCCCCTTTGCACGGCCATCTCCAGGGAGCAGACGCTGTGCACGTGCAACAGAAAAAGGCAATGACTGGGAGAAGAAAGATTTCATTTTTTGGAAAATGTTTTTCAAATCATGGCAAGTGAGAAAATCAGCAACATTTCAGACGGGGCCGATTCCGGCTGGCTGAAGCTCTCGTCCCTTAAACTGGTCCTGGTGTTTCCCCAACGGGAGCTGGCTTGATCCTGACCTGGACATCAGGGACCAGTTCATCCCCCCCTGCCCCTAAAACACCCGTCCCACCGTGCCAGCATCACCCATGACATCACATCGCCCATGACATCACATCGCCCATGACATCGCCCATGACATCGCTCCCCGCTTCCCACACACAGCGAGGGGTGGTGCAACCCACCCCCAGCTCCGGGGACACTGCGGGGTCTTTACGCGCTTCTGGGGTGATGCAGCATCAGTGCCGTGACCCACCGGACCCACGTACCAGCGCTTGGGCAGGATGAGGCCTCCCTGGGTCACAGGCTGATGCCGCAGCGCTTCGCAAGGAGCCAAACCCCGGCCCTTTGGTGCTAGGAACAGAAAAAACCGCTCGGCCGTGACAAGTTCGCAGCAGGGGACAGCAACCAGATACCCTTCTCTGCTTATCTGCTAACCCGCCTTTGCAAGAAAATAAATTAACCGCACGTTGGAAAAGCCCTGGAACCAGCCCCGGGAGTCGGCGTCAGGGTGCTCAGCACCGCACTGGGTGCACAGCACCGTGCGAGGGCAATGCTCGACAGCAGCCACGCAGCAGCACGGTGCTCGGAGGAAGCCGTCCAGACCGGAGCGGGCAGCCCTGGAGCTGGAAAAGCAGAAAATAATCATTTTACTCTAAAAAGAGAAGAGCTGGAGGTAGGAAATTACAGAGGAAGGGTTTGGGGCTGCCCCCGCACGCTGCAGGCAGCTCGGCCCATGGCCCCTTGGCTCCAAGCAGGCAGAGGGGCCGCCCCACGTCTCCCCCCCGCGCCCCACCGAGCCACGGAGGAGGAGGAGGAGGAGGAGGAGGAAAGCTTTAGCACCGGCTCAGCCCTCGCACCTCCCCAGCGCTTCCATCTTCTCCCCTCCCAAAACCCGCTCTTCTTTCACTTATTTATAGGGAACTTGGGGCTGGCTTGACCCCCACTGGTGTCCGTGCCATTGGCAGCGGGGGCCTGTGCAG